CGAACAGTTCCAATTACCTGGAAGCACCATGGCAGCCCTCCACACCATGATTTAACCTCCAACCAGAGTAACAGAAAATCATATCCTCCTTAACCCTACTTTAGTCAAGTAAGACACTATTATTCACTGTAAAGAACACATGGTGGGGCTGGAGATTTAGCTCAGCGGCATAAGCGCCTGACTTGCAGTGTGTGGTCGTGAGTTCGATCCCCGGTACCGATAAAAAAGAAAAAGACATTAAAAAAAAAAAGAACACATGGTAACCAAGCCTGTAATGCCAGCATTCTGGGAGGCTGAGGTATAAGTACTTCAAACTTCAACCTACTCTGGGCAACTCAGCAAGATCTTGTCTCAAAACAAAAACAAAAACAAAAACAAAAACAAAAACAAAAAGACTGAGGTTGCAGATCAGAAGGTACTGAGTTCAATCTCTAGTCCTGAGAAGAGAAAAAAGAGAAAGTAGGGGAACACATGGCTATGGCCAGGGGGAAACAGTAGTACTAAGTCTTTGGAGATCTTGTTTATTGAATCAGGACCACACTTAGCCAAACTAATGCACTAGAATTATTAAAATTGGGTGTGGTTGTAGACACCCACCACTTGCAAGGTTGAGGCAGGAGGAATGCTGTGAGTTCCAGGCCAGCCAGGGCTTCAAAGTGAGTTTAAAGCCAGCCCAAATGGCATAGTAAAATCATGTCTCAAAAAGACAAAGTTATTAACTACTTGATGTAAATGCAACAGTACACAATTGTTGGGATCTGAAATATCAACAGCTAAATTTCTGACAAAGTTCCCTAATTATGAGCTTCCTTAGTGAATTCCCCAGTTCACCAGTGCATAGCATGTGCTCAATGATACCAACTACTCCACTAGGTATCTTAACCTACTATTGTCCAGCTATATGTCAGAAGAATAACACCCCCCAATCTATGGCACAAATACACATTTAGCACCTAATTTCTAAATAGTTTACAGTTAATAACTTCTTCCCCCATTTGCAGGATACAATGTTAACAGTTCACAGTTTTTATCCCTGATTTTAATTCTTTGGTCTATATTTTGCTATAATGTTCAGGTTTTACATAGAGTTTATGTCTTATTTTTAAAACCATAAATTCTGAACAACTTAAAAGCAGTATTATTGTATACTCACACTTTTGGTTCAATGACTACATAATTCTTACTTGGGAGAGCTGGTAGCAAGCTACAAATCTGTAAACATACTCTCAAACCTAAAGTCAAGTATGTTGGCTTTCCTGACAAAATTCTATATATTCAAGGTTGAATATAACTAAATAAAACATTTTTTATATGCAAAAATAAACCTATCTAGCTCGGCACATCCCTGCAATCCCAGCACTCTGGGAAATTGAGGCAGTAAAATGGTCAGGAGTTAGTTGAAGCCAGCCTGGGGCACACTGTAAGTCCAAGGTCAGCCTGAACTACATAGGGAGACCCAGTACCCCTCCCCGCCAAAAAACCCTATCCTCACTTTGAGGATCAGCTCTCTAAGTAGGGGAGTTTGGGCCTCTTGCAGAATTGCAGATGGAATCCTCTAGCCCAGGCCCTTTATCTGAGAAAACTTCACTTGGACACAAATAAGCCAAGTCCTTGAGGGTTCTGCGTCTCCAATGTCCTATAAACCCATGGTTCTCCCTGGCCAAGGGTAAAATGAGATCTTTCCCACATTTCAAAACTGGTTTCTGGCAAGTGTGAGGCCATGAGTACCGTCCCCGGTACAAAACAAAACAAAACACTGGTTTCTAAAAATCAACCAAAAAAATACCCCCATAAACCTGCACTCTAAAGGGCTACCATTTGATATTATTCATTATATCTCTTTTTATTTATTTTTTGGTACCGGGGATCAAACTCACGACCTCGCACTTGCCGGCTTATACCACTGAGCTAAATCCCCAGCCCCATTATATTTCCTTTAAAATTGCAATAGTAGGGGGCTGGGGATTTAGCTCAGTGGCAAAAGCACCTGCCTTGCAAGCAGGCCGTCGTGAGTTCGATCCCTGGTACCGATTAAAAAAAAAAAAAAAAAAACTGCAATAGTAAACTAGAGCCTTTCCATTGGATGGCCTGACAGGTACAACTCAGCATCCTAGAGTTATTCCCTTTTTACAGATGGGTCTTCCACTGCATCATAAAGTCCAACCAAGAGACTGTTTCTCAAATTGTCAGGACAATAAACTTGTTTAAAAAAAAAAAATCAACTCAGAAGTCGGTGCGTGGTGGTACATGCTTGTAATCCCAGTACTTGGGGAGGCAGAGACAGGAGGATCACTGCAAGTTGGAGGTCAGCCTGAACTACACAGTTTAAAGACAGCCTTAACTACACAGGGAGAGCAAGAAAATAAAATCACCTAAGGAAAATTAAAATTAATTTACTTGTACTGACAAGCAAAACTAATAATGGCTTCAGGGAATTCTACACAGTCAGTGAGTGGAATTTGTTAAACTAGAAAATAATTTCAGGTTTTTGTTTGTTTTTCTAGTACTGGGATTCTTCCAAGGAGCACTGAGGCACACCATCCCAGCACTCCACCACCCTGGCCAAACTCTTTTGGGATAGCGGGTCACTAAACTGTTCAAGCTTAGCTGAAATCTGTAATCCTTCTGCTTCAGCCTTCAGAGTCTTTCTCTTTTGGATAACAACTGAAAACCTTAAGTTGAAATTTACATCAGCCACATGAAAACACACCTAACATGATATGGATTATGTAAGAACTCCACTGGATAAAAGTCACTGTCAATTGTTAACGAATATCTCCAGGGAAAAAAGTGGAAATAGTTCTTAAAAGTATGAACATGTTGCAATTCCAATACAATATTCATTTTACATCTCCTGGTTTTCAAATAGCACACATTTTAACTGAAAAAAGCAATACTTCCAAGAAACTCTAGAATTAAGGGATCTTTTCAAATAGCCCTGATCATTCATCACGTAAACAACAATTTTTCGTTTTTGCTAATACTGACCCCTTAAATCAGACTATGTCTCTTTTAGGAATTAAGTCAGACATAAACCATAAATTTACCTCTTTGGACAGAGCACACGTATTTATAGGTCACTCTAAATGCACTGTGACCCAAAATAAGTTACCTCTACTTTTCCACCAACAGAATGGGAGTTCATAGGTTTGGGGAGACACATTTTTTCCAGCAGTATTTTTAGAGTGAGCCCTTAAACTGTAAGCTTGTAATTCAACATCACTTCAACTTTATCCTGCAAAGAGGAAAGGGGTAGGGAGCAAGTTTACCATTACGAAAGATAGCCCTGTCACAAGAAACATCTCCCACAATGGCCACCATTTTGAGCAGCAGGATTTAATCAAAAGTATTCAAGATTGTCCATAAACTAAATGGAAACTAGGGACATCAGATAATTGATAAGCATCTCTTGTCTTTTTGGAGTCTCATATCTTTAATTTTTGTAGCCCTATTTCTTCTCTTTACTCAACACAGATAGTTGTTTCAGGAAAAAAATTTATTATAAAAAAGCATACTTGTTACATCTACGTTGAAACTTTGGAAATCAAACACTACTGTGCTGCAGAGATGCTGTGTAAAATGTCTAGATTACTACATTTTCTTAAAACCTGTAAAAGCCTACAACTTAATCACATTGTTTTAATCTGCTTATGGAAGAGTCACCAAAAGCCAGTGAGTGGTCCTCCTTTACCAGTCTACAATTCCTCTTCATTCTCCTGCCCTATCCCTTTTGATCTTTTTTATTTTCCTGATTTCATTAACTCTGTAACAAGAGAAACTTCTCACAGTTCATTCATAAGAGAAACAAATGATATTTCAACAATCACGACTGGAACTAAAAATAAAGCTGAGCCAAAGACCTGAGGTGTAAATGAATTAAAAGCAATCCAAAAGGTTAAGAAATGGGGGGGGGGGGTGCGACGCTAAGCTTCTACAAAAGAGTTTCTAATTTTGCCTACTTCATCGTTGCAACTGAAAACAAAAACTGACCCAACGGTTTAGTTTGTTCCTTGTACCTTTGTCCCAGGGCAAAAGGTGATTAAGTCACCACACACATTGCCAAAGGAAAAAAAGCAACTCAACCTGCCAACCAATCAAATACTGCACACTCTTTCCAAAAATAAAAATAAATAAAAGGAGGATGCGGCTGGCTCCTTCGGGCGGACGTGTACATTCCACCCCTCGTACTCCCGCCAACGACCCTGCCCCTAGGACCCTCCGACTTCAGCCCAGTTATCACAAAGCCTCGGGTCTGAAAGCACCTACGGCCTGGCCAGAAAAGCCATCCTTTTCCTCCACGCTCTTGGAGGAATAATGGTGGCGAAACCAACTCCAAGAGCCCCAAATAAAGAGGGCTGTGTACTCTGAGACCAGAGGACTGCTTAAGGATAACGGAGTCCCAAAGTTTGCCTCCAAGCCTCTGAGCCCCGCGCGGGGGCTCTCCGCCGCCTGAAGTTCGCGCAAAGCGCCCCCAAGAGTTGCCAAAGTGCGACTCCCCGCTCCGCGCGCCCAGCCGAGCAGGGGCGAGTGGCGCCCCAGCGCCCTCCGCCGCCACCCCCGCCACCCCTAGCCTCCGCCGCGCCCCCCGCGCGTGCGCCCGTGCGTGCGCCCGCGCCCGCTCCAGTCTCCGCCCGGAGCAGCTGGCGCCGCTTCAATGGCACCGGCGGGGAGCGCGCGCACGCACTCTCGCCCCGCTCGGCCTTCCCAAGTCCCGGGAGAGCTGCCCCGGTCCCACTCTGACAAAAGCGGACGCGCCCCCGCCTCTCGCCGCCCGCAGTCCGCCCGGACCGCGCGAGGGCATAGCGACCTCACGGGCGAGCGTCCCGAGCCCGACGCTCGCGCTCGGGTCCGGTGCGGAGCACAGTGGCCCCCACCGGCCCGACCTCCTCTGGCTCCCGATTCCGGGCGAAGTCTCTCGCGCCCCGCTCCCTCTCACACGACGTCCCGTACGCCCCAAGGAAGGCTGAGGAGACCGAGCGCCGCGCGCGGCGGCCACTCACCTCGATCTCAAAGTCCGGCAGGCGGAAAGCGGTGCGGAAGAGCGAGCAGAAGTGCGCGATGGCCGGGACTTCCCACCATGAGCGGAGCTCGCCCAGCCCGGCCGCGCCGCCCTCCTCCGGGCACATCTCGCTCCCCGCGCTCGGCCCGCTCGCCTCGGACTCCCGCCGCGGCGCCGCGCCTCAGCGCCTCGCTCCTCGCGCGGAGGCGGCGGCCGCTGCTCGCCGTGAGCGTGAGCTGCTGAGGCGCGGCCGGGCTGGGGCGGCGGCGCGGGCCGAGTCACTGAAGCGGCGGCGGCTCCGGCTACCGGCGGGGTCCGCGCGCTCGCTCCATCCCGCGGCGGCCGCGGCGGCCGGCCCCAGTCCCATACAATATAATCCAGTCACCGCCGGGGAAAACAGATGGGGCTGGGGGCGGGGGAGGGGCCGCACCGAGGGCCTGGGGGAGGGGCCGCCCACGAGGAGGGGCGGGGCCGCGCCTCACCACAACAACCCCGCCCCCACTCCCCACCCCCAGCCCGGACAGCTGCACCGGGAGGAGGGGGAGGGGAGCGGGAACAGAGCCCCGGGGCGCGAGGACAAGGCCCCCCCTGAGGGGAGTCGGGCACACTCGCGACGGCGGCGGGACGAGCGCACTCCACGGTCCGGGCGTCTGGGACTGAGGAGTTTAGTGACTTTCCGGAGGGAGGACGAGGAGGGTCTCTCCCACCCCCCACTTGGCCTGAGTGGTCGCGTCCTTTTAAAGGGCCCGCTGGGTGGTGCTTTCCGAGGGTTAGATGCAGAAACGTGCACGTGTGGGAGTTAAAGGAGGATAGAGCGCGAGGGCGAGTGGGCTGTCCACCCTGGAAACTGGAGGCGTAGGGAGAGGAAGTGGATTCCACCTGTTCCATCCCAGCGCGGGGCTTCGAGGAGCCCTGCCTTGGCTCTGGTCTCGGAGGGGAGAAGGTGGCGGGGCTGGTTAGGCTGGAACTCTGTGGGATGGAGGCTGGAGGGCGGCGGGAAGGGTGGGGTAGGGGGGAGGCACCAATCAGCGGCCGAGCGGGAAGAGCGACCCCCCCACACCCCAGGGAGTGGACACGGTGACCGCCCCGGAGAAGACGGCTCCGAGCTGCGACTTCCCTCGCTCAGCAAAGCTGCCTGCACGAGTGCGCACAATGTGGCTGGAGGCTGGGGGATGGGAAGAGGCGCTCGAGAATCTGGGGGTGGAGACCTGCACGCCCGGGCTGAGGGAATGTACTCCCGGAGGAGGGTGTCGAGGCGGGTGCCTTAGAAATGTTAACTGCTGTGTGGGACGCTGGAATTACTCTAAACCGGAAAGGGGAAATCACCTCAAAAACAGCCCAGAAGTTTGGAGAAACTGCATTGATTTGCCCAGCTTTTAGTATTGGTCACCGCGCTTAGGCATTTAGTACTTCTCTGTGCTCCAGTCTCAGAGGCTTGGGTCCACCAATACCACCCTGACGATCCCCAAAATTAATGAGGTACTTACTGAGTGACAAACTCAGCCCCCAAGTAAGTGTACTATGGTTAAGTCAAAGGTCTGCGTCTCAGCGGTGTAAAATCTTGAGGAATGGAAGTCTGAGGAAGGAATTCACATGACAGATTTCCCAATAGGCTGTCTGGGTTCTCTCTCCACCCCTTCCCCTGCCCACTCTGATAAGTTTAATAACCTGTTGTATTTTCGTAAGGAAGTAAAATGTAGAATCAAATATTTTATCAATCAGCTAATTTCAAAATGCTCCATTCTATGCTAACCTTTGCTCTGGCTGTCTATGATGAAAAGGAGCATACATGTAAATGCTCCCAAAAGGACAAGGCTACCTGTTTGCATGTTTGTAAATCACAGCTACTCTGTAGATACCTCATTAGGAGATGAAATGTGAAAAGAATGACAAGCTACCTTGAAATTCATCACATGGATTAGATGTTTTCCAAACTGTCTTGTCTTCATTTTCGTCTAAAATAGTTTTGACTTTACAGAGTTTTTCTTCTTGTTTTATTTTTTAAAAGTTGTATTCATATTTGTTTCTACGCGTTACACTCTGACTATGCGGTCTCTGCCTTCTTTCACCTCCCTCCACCATCCTGTCTTGTTCCTGGCCTTATCTCTTATCCTTTAACCTTCTTACCTGACCCCTCAATTGCCGCTACTTTCCAGTAATAATAGGTTGTTAACAATACCAGGAAGGCGAGAAACATTGGCTACTCTGTAGTCACTGTAGTATGCTCGAGTGCTGGTTATAACCGCCACCTTACTGGAAGCTATTCCTCTTCTCCATATGCTATCTATAATCAACAAAGGTGTCCCAGAACTGCAGATGTCCTGTGGTGGTGGCTAGAGATTCTCAGCCTCTTTCTTCCCGTGGGCATGATTTGCCCTGTGTAGTCACTAGTTTCTGCCAAGTCTCCCCTCTTAGGGTTCGTATGGGCCGCTCTCAGGTCTAGACTGCTGCTTCCTTCTACCATACCCTAACGCGGTTCCACCTCTTCCATTTTAGTCTGACTTGTCCCCTCTGTGATGTCCTGCACCATCTTCCTGCCCCAGCCTCCACCTACAGCCCAGACCCCATCCTGGCCCCAGAAGCTAAGAGCTCTAACATATCTCCTCTGGCTGTAAAGCTGGACCCTGAGTTGCGGCTCCAGTCAGGGTTTCCCATCTGGACCTCTTCTGACTGCCTCCCGTTGGGACTTCTACCCCTGAGTGGCCAAAATTGATTTCCTGAATCTTGGCTCCTGCTCTGAACACTTGCCTCACTTTTACCCTTGGATTTAACTGCCTCCGATTTGTTTTCAAAACTCATTTCGAGCCTAACCTAGACTCTTGATTAATGACTGCCGTAAGATAAATGGACACTCTGGCTTTCTCCCTGATTATGAGTGGTGTTGCATTCAGGCCTTTTTCAGCTTGTTCCTTCTTTCGCTAGTGTTGGCATCTTCTTTTAAGACAGCTCACCCTTTCGTGCTTTCACTCTTGTTCTTTTCCTGTGAGCCAGTGCCTTTACCCACTGATGACCCTGAAAAGATCTAGAAGTATATACCCTTTCACATTCACATCTCCAATTCCATATTCTCTTGTAATTAAACATTTTGTGTTTTAAAAAATCACAGGAAACCTGACGTACATCTATAATCCCAACACTTCAGGGTGCTGAGGCAAGAGGACTACAAGTTCCAGTACAACCTGGGAAATTTAGCGGTTTAGACCCTTTCTAAGACCTGGGCATGTAGCTCAGTGCAAAGCCCCTGAGTTAACCCCCAGTACTAACATTTATGTGTATGTATTACAATAATTAGACCCAAGTATGTAGTGGCTGAGGCTGAGGCTGAAATCTCAATATTTGCCAAATGTGTTTGTTTTTGCTTTTGGTGACAGAATCTCACATTGTAGTTCAGGTTAGCCTCAAACTCTTGGTGCTCTTCCTGCCTCAACCTCCACACTTGGCTGTCCAACATTCTTCTATTTATTCTGCCCCTCTCTTCTATTTAAATTGTCTTCTCTCCCTTTAGCAGATAGATCTGGGTGTTCCTTGTTTCGGTCCCAGTGTCAAATTAACGCAGTAACAGAGTGAACATCATTTTACTGCTTGCATTTACCATGTGTAGCTGAAGGCCATGACCTCCCAAGTTCTTCAAGCTCTTTGGCACATGTCCCTGCTGTTCTCATTAGGGAGCTGCATTCTGTGATGCACCTGTTCCCAAAGAGGGATTATGAATTGTGTGATTTTAAAATTTTAGAAATCAAATACTAGGGGCTGAGGATTTAGCTCAGTGGCATAAGTACCTGCCTTGCAAGCAGGCGGTCGTGAGTTCGATCCCCGGTACCGACAAAAAGAAAAAAAAAAAAAATCAAATACTAAAAAAAAAAGTAAAATTTTAGAAATCATAGATGGTGGCGCAGCCTTTAATTCCAGCACTTAAGAAGCTGAGGAAAGAGAATCACAGTGAGTTTGAGGCCAACCTGGACAACAATGTGAATTCTAGGCCAGCTTGAACTGCATAGTGAGACCTTGTCTCAAAAAGACAAAAAAGAAAGAAATTGTAGAAAGCAAATTAGGGCTGGGGGGTTAGCTCAGTGACACAAGCACTTGCTTGGCGAGTGCAAGGTTGTGAGTTCGATCCTTGGTACCAAAAAAAAAAAAAAGAAAGAAAGAAAGTGAATTAGATCACTGGCCAGGGCATTTTGGTTCTTCTTTGAAAGAGCTCTTACTTGCTACACCTCATGTCTGACACAAAAGACTTGAAGGAAATTGTTCTTGAGGTCCATGAGTTTTACCTTAAATAAAGCCAAATCAACATTCTGAATAAGTTCAGGGGCTGGGGGTGTTGTTCAGTGGTAGAGCACTTGTCTCATGTGTATTAGGTTCTGGGTTCCATCCCTAGCTCTTAAAAAAAAAATCTTTAAATAAATTAAATCACACCAAGTATGATGATACACAGTTCTAAGGCTCAGCACTCAGAGACTAAGGCAAGGAGGATTGCCGTGAGTTTGAGGCCAGGCTGAACTACAGAGTGAGACCCTGTCTCGAAGAAAACAAAACCAAAACAAACAAAGAACCCTTTTTTAAAAATTAAACCATGTCATTTACTTGCTCAAGAATCATTGCTTTTGTACAAAAGAGAAAATGCCGGGGGTTGGGAATTTAGCTCAGTGGCATAAGCACCTGCCTTGCAAGCGAGTTCGATCTCTGGTACCCATAAAAAAAAAAAAAAAAAAAAAAAGAGAGAGAGAGAGAAAATGCCAACTCTGATAAACTCCTATCCAAGACCTGCCAAAATCGCCCTTCGCTCTGTTGTGCACCCCTCCCCCACCCGTGACTCCTGTCTCCTGCCAAGCTGGCTCACTCACCCTTGGAAGGGCCTTGCCCCTTCCTTTTGACCAGGCCCTGTCCCTTGACTGGAGACCTGCTGCTCAGCTTCTGGTTGTGACCCACTCAAAGCTCACTTCCTCAGTGTAGCTGTCCTGAAACACCCTAGCTTGGGGGTGTCTGCAGCTACCTTTATGCAGGAAATTATAATGTGTATGAGTCACCTATCAAGTATTTCCTTTGTCATCCTTCTATCATTGATTTTGGAGTGTTACTTAAACCGTTTACTATAATTAGAGTTGTTCTTTCTTTTCAGCCAGATTAGACTTTTAGAGGACATTTTCCCTAATACACACTGACTAAGTGGTGGTGGGAGAGGGCGATTGAGGCAGGGTCTCCTCAAAGTCACAATCTTACTTCCTTTGCCTCCCAGGTGCTGGAATTACAGGCCCGTGCCACCACACCCACAAATGATTAATTCAATTGTATACTGATGTAAGTAATGGCATTCACCATAAGGAACTCAAAACTTCAGTTAGCCCGTGAGTTTTGGTTTTTGGTTTTTCTTTTTTTAGACAGAGTCTCCCTATGCAGTTTGAGCTGG